TTAAGAGGGGAGTTTCTCATTTAAGAGGGTGGGAGGAGTCGAACACCCCTCTCCCCTCTCCTCAACATCGAAGTGAACTTTGTCACAAAGCATGGACACTGGACAATGACCATCTCGGCTTCCATCTTTATCTTCATCTACCTCTTTCTATTTTTAATTATAAGATTACACAAAAAAGTTCCATGAGTTTTATATTTTAATGATTTTGGTTTTATCTTGGTATTCTAATATTTTTTAACCATTACACTGAAGATATTTATTGAAATAAATAACCATTAGACTGCAATCTATCTAAACACCTGTTTTTATATTATCTGATTTACGATATTTATTGATATCATGTGTTTTTGATGGTTCCTAGCCCATTTGATTTAGCTTAGTTCATTCAGTTTGAACTTAAGAGTATCTATTACATTTGCATGTTTATTTGCATCTTATAGGTACTAGAGAGTAATTTTTGAGCAATTGGAGCGGATTAAGCCACAAAATGGTTGAAAAATCTATTTGTATGAAAATGGTTAAAAATATCTTATGAAGCTCATCTTTTGCTACAACATATATAAACTTAGTTAGATTTCTGATGGAAGTGGTATCAGGTCGATCTGAGCTATATTATGGGAGTTGTAACTAATTTACTGGACATATACCAGTTACTCGAGAATCCAGCGGCTGGCCAGCGACCAGTCTCAACCGCTGGTCGATTACTTTTGACCAAGATATCTTATAATATATTATTGTAAGGTTTCCAAGTTTCACGTATATTATCTTGTACGAATTGGTTGAAAGATAGTATCTTATTAATTTTCTTTTGAGGATGTAGATGTACATTTTAAAAATAATTAGTGTTACATTGTATTTAATTTTTTTTTTTTATAACATTGTATTATCTTCCATTTATATAACGATCGATTATTTTAGTGATATGAAGATGGCAATAACGAATGTTAGTAAAAACTTATGAAGATATATTTGTAGCATGCATGCATGCGTATACTGGACTTTGTCTTTCGCATGCCAAGAAAAATATGGGTACAATTATTTAAACTTAATTAGAAGAACACTTTAGGAGACACTCGATCGAACATCTTATAAGATTTTACACATCACAGTGACCTTAGAATTCTACAATATTTTACATGAGATAATAGTAATGATAATATACATGACAGGAGTGCAACACAAACTCTGATCAAATCATGGCTTTGAAGACAAAGGATAAGAGTGATGTTGAGGGTCTGGCCCTCCTGGAGAAAATCTGTTAATTTCACTTCGTGCTGAAATCTCTCCAAGACGCTTTAGTTCAGAAACATTGTATCCTAACCGTCGCAAAAGCTCTTCGCTTTCAGTATCTTTACTGTTTGAAACTCGAACTACCCTCCCTTCAATTACAATTACGAATAGAAATGTGAGCACAACAAATATTAGTAATGCCTTACAAGCCATAGTGATGGATTTTAGGTCGAAGGAAATTAGGAAAGATTAGTAGTTAAGATATGACCAAAGAGGAAGCGTTAAGTGAGTCTATATATAGATAAACAAGAGGATAAACAAGATACAATATAAAGCATATAGTGGCCACTATTCGTTAAGATACCTACGAATTATATATATGCATAATATATATGGGTGGTACAAAAAGAAGCATAATATATGTAGTTCCACTGATTAAATATAATTAACAAGCCCTGTACTAACGGTAGTGGCCACGTCATCAGTAGCTAAACAATTGGTAGTTGCATATATATATATATGTATCTATATAATTTGGAGGTACATAATTAGTTGCTATGGTTTACATGTTATCTTCTAATTTTATCTGTATATAGATAAGTTAAAGTTTTCTCTTTATAGTCATATATATCCAAAACTGAATTCATACGTCATGAATTATAATCTTCCAGTTCATCTATTTTCGTTAAGTTTCTTTTTTATGCAAAGTTAGTAAAAAGTTTAAACGTTTGGATTAAATAAGTCATGCGCAATTAAATGATAAAAGAACTGCTCGATAAAATATATACAACTGGTTTGCCTAACCTTGAGAATCTAAGTAGTGTTTTAAGTTTTTGTAATGGCTACAAATTTTTTTACAATTGTAGATGTGTCTAAATATATACTTCTAAGCCTTTAGAGGTGTAATACTAGGAATTATATAGTCCAAACGTATCTTAAGCAAATATTTTAAACTTTTGTATTCTTGTAAGGTTAGTAGACATTCTGTTAACTTTTAGAAGTAATAAAAATGAGGCTTCTGTCCCGTTAGTATATATGGCGTTAGGGCATTAGAACTAATAACAAAGAATTTTTTTATTTATTTTAGATACAGTCGTCGGCATATACAAAATATACAAAAATAGTTAATCCTATTATCGATTCCCCATACCAAAAGCTCTCTCTCTCTCTCTCTCTCTTTTATTCTATATATCTGAACTTGTTATAATCATTCTTTTTTTTGTGACGATAACATTTTCAACATGGCCGTGATTGTAAAATTTGAAACAATGAAAAACCAATCTCACGAGCTGATCTCTATACCGGTGATGATCTCGGTTATGCGATTTATCAACCAGTGTTGCATGGTCCAAATTAATAATGATAATGGGGCAAATATTTGCTTGGATCTCCAAACATGGAAGAAGTTCCTCTTTACACATGGAATAATTCCTCATCCAAATAATGAATTCGAAGACTGAACATTGGTGTGCCAATAAGTCTTGTCATCTCTTGGATAAACTTTTACCATATATTTGATTTAACAATAAAATTTATTGGGCTTTTACGAGTTCATTTCTGACTCTGGTTTTACCGATTGGTATGTTATCATCCAATTATGGAAATCAGATTATCAACATGTGTTATATCATATCTGAAAGTGTCATAAACCCATATGCATCAGCATGGTCGGTCCCTGGGCCAAGCCAGAGGAAACATTCGCCTTGAACCCCCAATTTTTTAGAAAAAGTTACATGTACATAAACTCAAAAAAAAAAATGTAGGTTCCCAAATCTGACAAAAAAATTTGTTTAGTTGAAATCCTTAAAATATTGTCTTATGTTCCCGAAATTTCAGGACCGGCCATGTGCATCAGTAAAAGTTTAACATTTGTTGGACAAAACAAGATGTAAGCGTTATCAAAGTTGACATATGAGGTGCGCAGCCGAAGGTCTCTACGGTATGATATGCTTTTAGGTTTATAAAATTTACTTTTCTAAATAAATATTTATTTATAAGGGAAAAAAATCAAATTTTAAAATTATTATTAATATAAATAACGAATTTTTAAAATTATTCATTCACATAATAATATACAAATCCTAAAAGAGTATTTGCTCAACATGTTTTTTGTTCTCTTTGCTTTCTTCGAGTTTTGATTTGCATTTGTTCATAACAACACGTTGGTAAAATGGTTGAGGAGTTTTGATTCGCATTTGTTCATAACAACACGTTGGTAAAATGGTTGAGGTAATGAAAGAATGTGAAAAATGACAAATCTCATTTGTTTCTCTAGGGACTTGATGAGTTTTTTTTATGGCTCTGTGAATTCTGATCTGCTCTTATGAGTTCCTATTCAAACTCTGAATGAAGCATACAACGATGTTACTCAACATGAGGAGTCCGAATTCATAACTCATTTACTTGGCTAAGTAAAAGTAAAAAAATGGTTCTCAATAAAAACCGAATCAAAAGAAAAGCATGTTTACACCATATCCCTTGATTTTCGCCACTTCCAGTACTGGATTTGATTACGTCATCTTGGCAGATAAGAATTTGAATAACCAAATATTAAATGCCAAATAGAGATGAAAGAAAAACAGTAATCAAACACGACAATGAAATTGGCATTCGAGTTGGTAAGCATTAGTTCGCAGCAAAGGTTGTTTACTTTTCTCTTATAATCTATTGTGTTGTGGCAAGTTAAAGGAGATGATGACCTAATACGAAAAACCACCTGTGGGGGCTTTTGGTTACCCAATGAGATTAAATTTGTAATAAACCAGATTAATTACAAATACTTTTTTCTGTTGTCATATTTTTATATGTTTTTTCCCTGTCTGAAACTTATTTTATTAAACAAATTTTATCAAAGATGTTGATAAGATACAATCCCAAGCTCTAAAAATCGGTCTCAGCAGCCGTATCGCTGCATATAAGCGCTCAAGAATTGATAAAATCGGCCTAAGAATCAGAAAATTTGAAAAACTCACTTTTTGTTCATTGGAGTTCCAGAAATCGAGTGTCTATAGTAGATGAGAAACAGTTGGAGTTAAGTTTTTAATCTCTTGTTTCCATAACCATGCGACAATAGCGAGCCAGAAAAGCTAAGTTCTGAAAATTCACTCGAACTTTTAGTCAAGTCACGGACGAATTCTACATTGTTGCGCCAAGTTGGTAGAGAATTTTCTTTGTATATATATATATATATCTAGAGAGAGAGAGAGAGAGAGAGAGAGAGATGCATGCGTGCAAGTGTACTTTCTGAGATTAACATATGTGTTAGCATCCACTTTGAACTAATTACGATTTTTGTCGTGGCATACGTATTTAGTGGGATTATTGAATAGAGAATACGTACTCCACACTTTTTTTTTTGAACACCAACGTACTCCACACTAAAAAGTCTGATCGTTTTAAAATATCTCCGAAATATCCTAACTAGAGCAGCAGGGAGTAAATTTTTAATTAGTATAGCATAAATGAATTAGAAATGTAACTTTTAACATGCATTCAGTAGAAATCAATATGTACTTGTTATAATCTGATAGTATATGTGTGAATTGTAAATAAGTTGAGCGAAATTAGATTATGAAATGATATGATTAAACCCATGGACTTGTGCATGGTATTGGTCATGCAACTAACCATCCCTACTAATTTAAGACAAGAAAGAAAGAGAGATATGTCATATACCATATATATTCCGTTCCTCATAGTTTTTGGTAAACACAAAGAAACCCGGTTAATATTGAAAGAAACACAGACATTCTATTTCAAGATAAATTGATGTCAATGTTAATAAGATGGTAACCGTAGGGTTACTTCACATAACCCTTATACAAAGCCTCTATTGACGTTACAAGCTTGAAAACCTCACCAAAGGATACACCATTAGACAGTTTTTAGTGATGTCTAGGGTCCGGTCCACCCGGGCTAAGTCGCTTTGAATCATGGGTATGGCCTAGGACTGTTTTGTCGCCTTTAGATCTCACCTTCAACTCTTCTGATCTTCTTAGAAGTTCTCTCATCATCTTTCTTATGTTCCCTGAATCTGAAGGCGTCTCTTCTCCAACCAATGGCCGGCATTGATGCACCGAGAGCTCGAGTAGAAGCAAGATAAGGCAAACCCATAACTTGATGAAACTTGCCATATTCAATTAATTGTGATTAACCCTGCTCAACTAATCCCTCTTAGAGCTATAGTCAAATGTGATATCCTAGATGCTTCCAGCTATAGGTTTATATATAGTTGAGCCATTGCTTTATGAATGTTGACCTGTCTAACTAATCTAAATGTGTATTATAAATAACTTAAGAAAACTATATTAGAGGCACTGGTTATCGAAACATTGTGATTAAATTAAGTTTCTCCCGTTTCAGTGTGAGCTGCCATGATCATATATGCACTAAGTTGGGATCTAGTCAGCTCAAGTTTGGCTTGTCATCTAATGCCTACAAATCGAACCACAAGATGTCATTTCCCTTTTCCCTACGAGTTCTTGAAAGGCCGTTTTTGCTATGAAAGGCCCCTTATATATATACCAATTCTTTTTATAAAACTAAAACTTTTCCATGTAATTATTTTCTTAATATTATACATTAGAAGGACAATGCAGTATAATTTATGCTGTATGGGACAGTATCTATTTGTAGGCAAAAATAGATTAGATTGTCTAGTTCGAGTCCAAATATTCTTGACTTTATCTTGCTTAGAAGTTAAATACTTTTAATTGGAAGATATAGTCATATAGATGGAGGGTTCAATATTTTGGTTCTGTTCACTCTTTCTATCTAATTTCTTTCATCATAGTTTCTTATAACTAAAAATCTTCCATTTAAAACCCCAAAAATGGGCAATTACAAGGTAACTTACAAAGCGGATCCAATAAATTTGGTACAACCATGAGCGGTGGGTTCCGAATCCGAGAGACTACACAGCCAAGCCACGGGCAAAACTCCGAATCTGTCATCTTCTTCACCACGCATATTTTTTTTTTAACTACTTTACTACATAAATTTGCTTCTTTATGTTTAGTTTTGGGTTTCTTTATGCGTAAGCACCATTCTGGTTAAGAGGGAGATCTACAAAGGATATCACAACGACGTTAGTAAAACACTAGATTGAGATAAAAAGAGGTAGAGTAGATATTATCAAGCAGATCATTAGCTATAAAGAGGAGGAGATAACCACTTCAATCATGATATAGTGAGTCGAGTGCATTTCAAGTGTCGTATTTTGCTCAGTTTTCGTAGAAAATCTAGTAATCCTATTTTTTGCTTCTAATATTGTCTCTGTCTTAAAATGTCTGAAGAGTCAACGATTTTTCAATGCATACGAAAATTCTCTGATCACTTTTTTCTCAGAGATTATGTAGACCTCATTTTTGATTACGTATTCCACTTTGAAGTTATAGGTAGTTTACCTGTCATAAATAAATAAAAAGACAATCCAAATCCCACATTGAATATTAGACAGAATAAAGTCTAATGTATATAACTGGTCCAATCTCACTTAATATGAGGTTTTCTGGAAGTAATAACCCAAGAACAAATCCGTGAGGGCTTAAGTCCAAAGTGGACAATATCATACTATAAGCGAGGGATTGGACATTTGGTGACGGACGTTTGGTTCTAATTGAGTTTCTTAGCGTACGGTTTGTTAGCTTTTAACTAAAAAAGTTAAGGAACGTCCCTTAAATAAAAGAGTTCTTAAGGCTTGTCTTCTCGTATTCACAGAGTTCTGTCTCAATTCTGATTCTTTTCATTTCTTTTTTGTCTAAAGTTTATTTTTATCTTTGGGATATCCATTCTGATTTATAAGTTTGTAAGTTTTTACATCATCGATACCTTAAAATATAGATTACAGCAAGTGGAGTATTTTCTGAAACTTTTGTGAAGCAAGACCATGGCTCAAGAAATTACTCTGCGTTCCGAACTGCTTTATCCTTGCACTCTGTTAAACCAGATGGATAGATTTATGTGTTTGAGAGATGGTTTGAAATGGTTCCTGAAGTAATTGACTGAGAAGCTGTAAAATTTTGTTCTTCTTTATCCATTGCAAAGAGCTTTGAATGTATCTGGAGAAAAACGTCTCTAACAATAAATTGTGATGACCGCGAGACTGATGAATGTAACTTGAGAAAATAAATTGTAGCCTGAAAAATAGGTTTCAGAACAGTTTTAAACTTGCCATCAACATGAAATGATCCAAGGCACAACCTCCTCAAGTCTTGTTGGAATCTGCAACCCATTCCTTCCAAACAATCTGCTCAATCCAATGGAAGCATAATCACATTCAAAGAAAATGCGGGCAGTTGATTCATTGCCTACACCACATAGCAGGCAAGTAGGATGAACATCAATCCAGTCATCATTATATCTCTCATAACAAGCCATGTGATAAAAGCATGCTTTTTTATCTAAAGTTCATTTAGTTTCTCATCCAAATTCACAACATCAAATAAATGCAAATAAATAACGTACACATATTACGTTTTTGTGAATATTTTTTTTTGAATTTTGCTTTTTAAATCTGGTTGAATCTAAGGGAGTAGCAAGTTCGCAAATAAACTCCTTTTCCAAGGCATTCAAATGTCCTAAAAGATAGATCAATATATGTGTTACATGAACAGAATAATGTGACTTAATTTTATACAGCAGGAGATCGAACCTGAAATAGGTTAGCATCTCAAGTCCGTCCATTACCACCCGACCACAAGACCCGTTCATTTTTGTGAATGTTCTTATGTTGTATATCATATCTTAACCTTTTTTGTAAAAAAAAGGTAATTATTATTACCTCGCTTTATCATATGTTAACTTTCTTTGTTCCATTAGGGTTTTGGGTTTTGTAACTTCTATAAAATAACACGGCACAGAAATAACCCGACCTAGCTTTCTAGTGACAACTGGTAAGCAAAACCTAATTTCGAGCTCAGCTAATAACCTTAAACGAATTATTTACCGCAGTGAATCATATATATGATATATAGTATTAGATATTGTTTATATGAATAAGTGGTTGCCGCGTACACGTCCAATCTTGAAGTACGAAACATAAGCTACGAAAACAAGGAAAGAAAACGACTAAAAAAAGTTTGAAGGAGCAGGGGCGCTTTATTGAAAGTGTGAGAGCTAGTGAGTCAGTGACGTTTCATAAATTAACTTGCATGCATTTGTGAATTACTTTATGAGAGAGCTAGTAATGTATCAGTATATCTCTTACTAATTACGTTTATATTGGCGCATGATACTCTAACGACGAATCACAGAAAATTTATGTTATGTATGAGCAAGATCGTATAATCCCTTTTAAAGATTATATTTTATATTTTATTTTTGCGGGATAACGTCCATAAAGAAAAATCAGAGGCATACTCCCCACCCAAAATTTTGTCCTCTTGATTTTATTATACCAACTTGCAAATATGTTTCCGTCACCCTGATCCCTCCTAACTTTTCTCACTTTAATCTCAACACCTCTCACTCGAAAGCACATTGCTTATCTAACTACCGTTCAATCTTGTAGAGCATCTCATGCCGACTTACTATGGCGGTGATCGGTGCAGACGTCCCAAATCCACTACAAAATTTAACCTTTAAGAGATTTTGAATTTTTATTTGTATAAAATACCTATATTTAACATCTATTTTCTAAAAAATAAAAAATATTTAATTTTTAGTGTATAAACATTAAGTATTATTTTTTGAAAATTAAAATTTATATTGGACTTTTTTTATTTGGTATATATAAAATATATTTCATAGAATTTAAATGTGTTGATATAATTTACTAAACCTCATCAAAATATATTAGTGTTAAGGAAATATAAAAATGATTTCATTGTAAATATAAGAAAATAATATAATGATAAGCTCATACTTATATAAAATATGTATACATATAAATTATTATTTATAGTTTTAATAGGACCATATATTTACATAAGATTTTATAAAAAATATTATCTAGTTATTTTATCGATTTGTTTGATATTTTGAACTATTTCAACTTAGGACTAGAAAAATTTAATAATTTATTATTAATTTATCTAGTAGTAATTTATAGAGTTTTTACTTTATTGTAATTAAAATAAAAAAATAAGGTAATTATTTTTAAAATATATACAATGTTAAAAATAATAAATTCGGACCTTTAAAAAATTTCTAATAATATTGAACTGGCCCTGATGTCTAAATTTTTTTAAAAAATACTTACTATCTGACTAATTTTTTTTTTATTTTGAAAAAGTTGTCCACGGTTGATTTGTGGTTAAGTGGTATATAAGTTCTAAATATGCTTATCAAATTATTTCCAAATATAATTAGGAATGATCTAAAAGTTGTTTTACCCGGATAGTAAATAATTACAAAACAAAATACCGGGATAACAAATAATTCTATAAGAATATTCATGAAAGAAACAGAATATAGTTTGAACACGGATGCAGGGTGTTAAGCAAATAGTTAACCAGGTTCATTAGCCACTTCATCTCTCTAAGTGGGTCTGCCTTTTGTTATGACTTGTGATCTGTATCTTTCATTAAATAGACTTTTCTTTCATGTAAATTAGATTATATCTTCGGAATACAGTTAAAAAAAGAAAATTTTCTCGAAAAAAATATAATTAAGAAAATAATCATGTACACCTTTAAGGTCAAAGTGAGGTGCAGCCGAATAAAAGAATCTTATACCAGAGACAGAGGGGGAAGAGTAAAGTTTATATCTTTATATCAACATTTGATAGTATAATATTATTAAAACAAACTTTCGGCATTTTTATCCAAAAATATGTAGGCACCTTTGTCTACTAATGGTCGAGGAATTGCCATCTTAAGCACTAGACTTATAATTTTATTATCATTGACTTTACTCCATTACTTAAGGGGCCCTTTAAGATTTGGAATTGGTGATTTAATTGTCATTGTATAATTAGATATGACATAATCAACCATTATAGCGGGGAAAACAGTTCAAACATTATAGTACTACGTTGTTTGATAGCTTTCCTATATAGTATTTTGTAAGCTTTTGGGATGAGAAAAAAATAAAGATTCCGTACTGGAAAAGGAAAAAGGGAGTCGCACCTGCCAATATAAATATTTTTTGGTTACGAATATTAAAACTCAAATATTGATATGTTACTATTGATTTTAAATAAACGTGTCGCAATATACTATTAAATGTGGAAAGAAAAGAAAA